GTGGGGACAAAACTGTACATGTATTTTTGTAAGTCTATGTATTGCACTCCCGCCATAAAACGGCGTAAATTTAACTTGCTCTCACTCGGTACTGTGGAGAAATGTATTGAGCTGAAGAAGGTTATGGCTGTACGCCTGTATGATATGGACTACTTAGCCACATTGGGCAACCTGTGGCACCACATTTGCGACCAGATGACAGCTGTTACTGAGGAGACCATCGGGCGCGTGAACTGTAAGCGGTCTGCTTAGTTTGACGAGAACAATGTGACGATTGGCGCATTGTTGTCAGAGAAGAATGCAGCATTTACTGTGAATGTGTCACAGCCCAGTGACTCGGGGAAGAAGAGGCAGTTTGGCGCATTCGACGATGACTGATTCAAGACCCCCGTGGCATTAAAATTGCGTGGTAGACGGAGAAGAAAATGCAGGTGGAATGCCACGTCGAACGTCGCCAACCCAAGGAATTCTTTGACTTTTTAAAGACTGTGTATGGACTGAGGCTGGAGCAGCTGAGGAAGCTAATCTATGGTAGTTCGGGTGCCGCCTTCACACAGACTGCAGACATAATGCCGACCTGGCGGAAACACTTTGACTGTCTCTTGAATAACCGTCCAGAGACCGACTGACCTACGTTGAACGGTCTGAAGCAGCACAATGTAAAGCCGATTCTGTCGGACACACCGACACTGGTTTAGACGCAACGAGCACTTGGTCAGTTGCGAAGCGGTAAGTGTGCTGATTCTGACGGGATCCCGCCTAAATTATTGAAATACGGAGGTCCTGCGTTGGTGGCCGCGCTGCATCACTTGGTGCAACCCGTGTGGATTGAGGTGGAGGTGTCTGCTGACCTGAAGGATGCCCTTGTGCTTCCACTATACTAGGGCAAAGTGAGCAAGTTGCACGATTTATCATGGCAGCACCTTGTTGGAGTTTGTAAGGAAAGTGATTGCCCGAAGCTTTCTCAACCACCTCATCTACCAGGTTGTGGAACCGAGCGTGGCGAAATAGCAACGTGAAGTTTGTTCGGGTCATAGCACCATCGATGTGATGTATTCAGCTCAGCAGTTGCAGGAGAAGTGTAGCGAACGACACCAGCCTTTGTACTTGCTTTTTGTTGATTTAACCAAGTTAGTTTATAAGGTGAATCGCGAGGCATTGTGGCTGGTGTTGATTAAATTTGTTTGTTCCAGTAAATTTGTAAATTTAATTGTATATCTGCACAATGGTATTCGAGCGAGGGTGCAGCTAATTGGAGAGACTTCAAATAACGCTGATGTGAAGCAAGACTGTGTCTTAAGTCTTGCCCTGTTTAATATTCATCTTCATGCAGGGATGCTTTGTGCTTGCGGAATACGTGGGGAGCAAGGTTTGTTGGTTTGTTGCTGTATATCCGTCGTTTCGGTGCGAGAACCCTAGGCTGTGAGACAACTATTCGTATATTGCTCTTTGCTGACAACTGTGCGTTGTTTATACACAGCGCGGATGAGTTGCAGCACAGGACTAGTAATCTGGCTTCGACAGCGGCTAAATTCGAGCTCACCAACAACACAAGCAAAACTGTTTGTCTTTTTCAGCCTTCACCGGAGGTGCAATCTTCAAGATTACCGCAAATCAGCATTGGTGCTGAAGTAGTAGAAACCACCTTCCGCTTCCGCTACTTTGAGACAGTGAGGTCGGCTGAATAACAGCTGAACAGTGAGCTTCGTATCCGCGTATCAAAGACAGCGGCGGCATTCAAGAAGCTAGAGCACCGAGTGTGGAACAACCATCAGCTTACCGTTGACACGAAGCTGATGGTGTACAAATCCGTGGTGTTGGCCTCGCTTCTATATGGCAGTAAAACGCGGACCATGTTCCAGGAGGGATGCGCTTTTTCTCGAGCAGTTACATCAAGTGTGTTTACGACATTCTGCGCATTGGCTGGCGCGACAGAGTAGAAGACACGGAAGTGTAGCGTCGTAGTGGAATGTACACAGTGGACTGAATACTTTTGCTGAGACATCTGAGATGGCTCGGTCATTTGTAGCGTATGGATTCGACGCGGATACGGAAGCAGCCATTAGATGGTTAGCTGCGTTTGGGAAAGCGGCATGTGGTGAAACCGAGTCTTCGTTTGCAGGACATGAGCAACTGTGCCTTTTACGTTCTGATGTTGATTGTAGGTAATGTGAATCCAAAGCGGCTGATTGGCTTGCGTGGCGCGATCTTATTATGAAGGCAGTTGCTGAGGTGCAGGTGTAAGTCGTCGTCGTGAGTAGAAGAAGCGGCAATTGCGGAAGCTACATGCGCTGACTGGCTGTACTTCATCGACATCAAGCACATAGTGCTGTAGACCTTTCAGTCGCGAGTGCCTGCGTCAGGCAGGCGCTGTCAGCCATTAGTGTATCAATGGAGGCTACCACCGAGACAACGACGAGTCCTATTGTGAACGTAGGCAGAACCGGCGTTGCAGTTGATTTACCGGCCACATGCTTGCATGCTGGGTCTCTGTGTTTCTGGTGGTGTGTTTGTTATATTGTCCTGACGCCTTTTTCTCCACCTAATCTATCTCCTTCAAAGTTGCACACGTCGCTTAAGCAGATTGTAGTTAAGTTCGGTAACCTTTTTCGCTTTTGTGACCTTTTTAAAAATATATTTGCTGACGTTTTGAACCTTTGGCGTATTTGTTAATAACCAATTTATTTTATATGCACATTTATTGAAGAGTTACCTCAGCATATCTTTATGCCTTATTTGATTTAATTTCTTTGTTATCGTCGTCTTAAGTTATTGGCTGTTGGTTGCTACCCCCGGTGTGGCTGCGCTTGATGTGCATATTGCCAAGGTGTTTACCTGTCGGTTACCTACTACCTCGTTCATACTGGCTCCAGGAGACATTTGGTCGCTGCGGGAGGGGACCGGTGCACGGTCCTTGTGGCCGTGTTAGGCTCTAAGATTGGTTCCATGCACCGAGTGTGGAGCAGACTACGGTCCAGCCACCGCATTGTGTGCGCTTGATTCCCCATTACGGCGTGCTTGTGTTTACCTGTGAAGGAGTGTGGGCCGGCTCCGTTGATGAAACCTGACTTCCATCCTCCTTCCAACCGGTCTTATTCCCTCAGGTCTACACTGGCATTTTGTGTGTGGTTGGAACTGTTAGTGTTGCAAAGCAAACTACCCATGGTCTTTCTGTAAGCGCAGGCGTCCTGTACCTGGCCAAAGTGATAGGTAAACTCGAACCTGGATATCTCCAGCCATATATATATATGCACCTTTTGTCTGCAATCTTAAAATACTAATCTAAACAACCCATTTATTGTAAGCTTAAAAGAGCATAAAATCCAGGAGGGCCTCAGGGTTAATTAAATGCCTTAATGGTGTGTATTTTATGGTGTACTTTTAAGGAGATAAACCAGCACACTTAAGAAAAACAGGATGGGATCCAAAATAACTGACGCGTTTGCAGAACAAGTGGCTTGTTTGGCCTAATATATATATGCCAGAGCTTGTAATGCAAGAAAACGTCCGGTACTAAGAAAGCTGCCAACAATATAGCAAAACTAACTTTGAATAGCAAATACAAAGTAAATCTCAAGTGCCTTACAAATTTTTCTGTTGATTTACCGATTATCTACCATTAACATTTTATGTACCGTTGGTTTGACAACAGCTATTTTGCTGCTGTATTTAAAAGACTATTAGTAAACTTTTGTTGTTCAGTTTGGCATGCAACCGGGTCAAACAAAAGTTTTTACTTTCCTGGATGTTCGAACGTCCCATCGACCAGATGGATCATGGAACATAAATTTAACCAAAAACGACATGGAGGGGTGAATATACGCACTCGGATGTTTTCATGCGAGTTTGACAGAAACAGAACCTGGTTCGGTGTTTTGTCCAAAGTGCGATGAAAATATGCTCTGAGGACACAATTGGCGTACAGCGTGTTTTAATATAAAAATTGTCCCTTAATAACGGTTAACCCACGGACTGTATTGATAGGAACCTTCAAACTGCTTATGCCATTGCCAAACCACACATAGTAGAAAAGAAACCCGTCCACTTGTTGTTGCCATATAAAGGAAACAAGTTCCAAATACATTAGCAAAAGCTTATGAGTGGCCGTCTGTAACGCACACTGGGCCGCACAATTACGCATTATCTTCATTTCCACGCTTATGCTACACCTATGGTTGAAAGACACATTGTCTGTGGATGTCACCCCTTTATGTGTGCATCAATTTACCTGTTTCTGTGAAACAATTTACATAAGTTGCAACACCAGACTTTTGTATGAATGCTTTCGCAAGTGTCACCCAGCGTGGTTAAGCCGAGGTTTGCACAAGACATGCAACACTGTATTAGTGGCGTACCTAGTCCACACTAATCATCCCGTTGCCATTAATAAATCCTTACGCCCGGTCTACCGTGTGATGTGTACATTCCCAGCTTATCAAATGCTACATCCTTGCATTGTAGGAAGCGATCGCGATGCGTCTCAACAACCCATTTTGTATGCATAAACAACTTGTCTGGGCTTTAGCCTTACCAAGGTCAGCTGTCGCACGAACGGCTGCCATGTAAACGAATCACACCCATTACGGGCATTTTAACATCTTTACTTTTAGACGTTTAATCTACTCTTTTTTGGATTAGCTATTTAAAAGTATTGTAGTTGGTCTGCCGATGAAACACCAAAAGTCAGCTTAGTTGCTAAACCGTCTTTTTGCTTATTGTCATCAGTTTTATTATAGCATTAATTAAGACAGTGATACAGTCCCATTTTAATATACAAACTAGCGTTAACACACATCTTTTGAAACAAAAGGTTTCTTAGGTTGGTACAAATTTAGATTACATTACATCTCCAAACCGGAGCACAAGTATTGCGTAACCTACTTTAACAAATATTTTGCAATAGGCAAAAGCAAAGAAAACTAAGATCTTATGCTGCTGGGTTTTAAGCACCAGCGTAATAAAAGCCACCATTTATTACTGATATGGTAGGCATTACTTACTCTGAGTGTCGTAGAACTGACCAGCTTTAGATAATTTGCATTTGTTCCTCCGAAAATAATGAATTGACCATCAACGGTAAGACGAGCAACATATACCTGAAGGTGTTCAGTAAAATAAGTACGTTTAAAAGTAGTAGATAATACATGCATGTTACTAATAGTGGTGGTCAATCTTATCTGTACATACGCGTTTAACCCAAAACGACTCGAAAGATAGAAGGATTGGGCGCATCCTTTTAAAATACTAAATCTAAAGCTGGAATTCCTGGTGGCGTAGACAACTTTTCACCAAGCATCTATCTTACAGAACAGAACTTACTTAACTTGTGCAGAAGCTGATGCTTTTATAATGAGCAAGTTATTATGGGTAAATACTGTACAATTATGGATTGTCGGCATTTCGTCTGACCATCAAAACCAAAGCACTGAAAGGTACATCCAAAGTTGTTATCGAGCGGATGCTCCATAAAATTTGACAAGTGCTCGTTAACGAGTTTCTACACGCATACAAGTAACAAGGCAACACTACCAAATTATTCTGAAAATCGTTTCACGGTAAATACATTTGCCAGTTTAGCTTTACTATACTCCACCAAAATGTTTAAAGTTAACTAGATAACTGTTTACTAAAATTACTATTCTGCGTCGTGTATGGTTTTAGATATTTTTATGACAACCACGTCCATTGCTGGAGCCTTTTGTCATGAAAATGAATTATTGTCCATGCGGTATCACGGTTGGCACACAAATGATTGCAGTTTTAGTCGCAATCAAATAGTGCTCAAAGAGCTGGTGAACTGTGAATATTTTTCAGTTATTATTTATATGCTAATGTTGTATGCACGGTCCGTAGTTATCGTAACTCATTTATTAACTAAAGCTTCCAAAGTTAAAAGGTCTAGTTTGCTAAAAGATGCTTTATGCGCAACGTATTCTAAATAATTCCATCAAAACTGAATAATAAAAGGTGTAATTCTTTTTATTGCCAAAGTGTCTTTGTTAACAAGCTAGTCCCTTACGCGCACACGAAACGAGCCATTCGAGTAAACAGACATTAAGGATTGGTTGATAAATGCGTAAACAGTTAGCTCTATCACATAGTTCAAAATTGCCCATATCGAGTCAGAAAAGAAACCCTTAGGCAAGCGGCTGGGGCCACAATTGCCCATAAGGAACCAATGCATGACCTGCGTGCCGCAACTCTCTTGCATGGTTTGAACGAATAAGTGTGAACCGGCCGATTAGCATGGGAAGCATTGCTGGTTAGTCGTAAGTTAACCCTTCTATAGGTCTTCACGTGAGTTGCATATGCCGTTCCACAATGTTCGGAAGGAGTGACTAGCCAACATATCTTACTTTTTCTCTGCTCCTCCGTAACCGGTCATTTCTGTCTTTGTTGTGGTGTCAGTGACCTCGGGTTTCCGATCGGTAGCTGAGGTCGAATCGGGCGACGGACGAACACTTCAATCGTATACAGCTTTGAAAAGAAAAGCCTGTTATATAATCCTCTGTCTTACACAGTTACTAGTTAATAATAAATGCAGGCAAGGATATCACTCTTTAAAGATCGTTTAGAAAATGTTTGTCTGACTCCACTTATATTTGACCGGGTCAGGTGACATAGAACAGCGACGACAATTATTTGATATCCAAATTATTCTTAACCTGTTACATACCAATAACTCATAAAATATATGCGTGTATACCGTTTTGATTAACATGCTCATTGTTTCCAACTACAAAATGCATACTTGCACTGCCGGGGATGAGGAATCCTGCGCAACGGTACTTAAAGGTTTGGACGTAATGTGCGTTGCTTTACGGGATTCTTGTCTGCGAAAATTTGGATCCCAAACCTAAAAGGATAGATAAAATAGAAGAACTTAACCTGGGCAAGAACCTTGTCGTGTTTATAAGATGCGGCCAGAAGTATCCCACGAGCTGCATCCAGATACAATCCATCAGCACCAGCCACGTTTGTCCCATCATATTGCCTACAAGTCAAAGTGCTTTGTTCACCTTACCATATGGAGCCATTTGTTCGATCATCCCAACCCTGAATCGTTCCATCCCAACTTGCAGAAACGAAAAAATGCGACAATGCTGGATCTTTTCCTCCTGTCGGATAGTAAAATAGTGCCGTGACTCGATTAGAATGATAATTATGAGCAAAGGTGGCATCTGTGCGTATGCTAGTGAAGTTATGTTCGAGTGCTGTTGTTATAGTAACCAACTTTGGAATCAGCAGACGTCCGCTGGACGTGGAATGCAGTTCATATAATCGGACAACAGTATCTGAGCCACCGGTAACAAATCGTTTGTTGTCCGATGATATAGATAAACATAGTATCTGATTATACTTTTGTTCGGAGATGTCTGTCCCACTCAGAGAATGCTCTAGCTCCCGCCAAGAGTTAGATAGACCGGAGGTTCCATTATTTCTATAATGCCAAACTCTGATAAAGCCAGAGGCATCTGCGAATGTGAACAAGTAGCAAAATAAGTTACACGCTGCCACTAGTTTCTTTCGATCCGACTGCTTAAAAACAAACGCGATATCGGTACATGGTAACTTTTCTTCCGGTGCTATGAGATCAATTTTTGGCCATTTATCGCTACCATGAGGCATGGGATGCAGCTGGAAGAGCTTAATAGGTTGAATTGCTTTACTTGAACAGATCCATCAGACAAACCAACGGCACAGTACTCTCGATCGGGGGAAATTCTAACTGTCAACGCTTCTGAAGCTAACAAACTTAATCGCTCGAAACAGGCACGAAGCTCACGTGCTGCCCAATATCCTCGCAGCACCAGAGCACTGCGGTTCAAGCTCTACTGAGGCATTTACATCTGTCTGACTCATGTTTTCACTACTAAGTTTTTTTTGGTTATTTGACTGCGTTAAGGTGATAGCGAAAATAAACGCGCTTTTACTCGCGTAAACTAAATTTGGCTTTGAAATGTGGCACGAAGTAGAGGTTAAGGTCTAAGCGTTTAAACAAATTGATTTAGCAACTGTGACTCTATTAAACTGTTTTAAACGATAAACCATAGACCCTGTTCTAATAATATAAATGCGCATTTTACATACTAGCACGTCGGTTGCGTAACTGCTAGTGAGTCACCCCATGCTGTACAAATGGTCGGTCACTAGTCTCAGTTTAGCGTATTTCAGTGACTAGCAGGTGTAAACAGCAACAAAGAAGGAAAATGGCGGGCTTTGTCAAACTACATAGTTAATTATTATCAGTGTGCTTAGCAGAAAAGTACGCAACGTCAACTACTGCGGATAGCGAGCTCCTTTGTGTTTCGTTACTGTCTTGAAGATGCATGCTGAAGTTATTGTTACTGAAGCTTCGGATTTCGTTATTCCCAACTCACTCTGTTTACACTGCTCAAAACTGGTTACTCAGGGCATTCAATGTATCTTTTGTAAATCCTGGGCCTGTGGTCACAGGCGTTGTTCGCTACTTATGGATTCGCTTTTTAAGATCTACGCTGAACACAATGGACTGTTATGGGTCTGTCGGTATTGCATTGATGAAGCTGCACTGGCAAGACGACCGCCGCTTCAGAATCTTGAGAGATGCTCATCCGTTCCTACGGATAGAAGAGCCAGGAAGTGCAGCGCGGTATCCCCCGGCGACCATCCAAAGAATACGACCAACGAAGTAGAAGACCTGTGTCGCACCCGTCCCCCCGACAATCTGAATACGTTGCCCACAGTTCCTCCATGCAGCGGGATTTCATCAACTGGTAAACCGGAGCTAACACTACGGATCTCTGATGAGCCACCTCCTGCTCCATTCGCCGATCATGGAACCAGAAACGAGTCACCGTGGATTGTTGCGGGAAAGAGACCTCCAGTTTTGACTCCGAGCACCGTTACGCGGCCGTCCATATTGTCCGAAACTGGTCGGATCCATCCTCGCAACCTTTGCTTGAGGATCTTTCATGCCCCGGAGTCAGAGAGTTCCGACCTGCGAATTCGTTATGATCATGATGTCGCGTTCTTACAAAATTTGGTTGATAAACTCCTGGATCCCGATGAGCTAGGTATTCATATAAAAAGAGTATTACGCGTGGGAAAACGAACGGCAAACACGCCTCGTCCGTTGCGAATTGTTTTTGAAAATGACGTCACCCCAGCGCGACTTTGACGTCTAAACGGCCTGAAAATCCACGTGCGTGCCGATCTCACTTTGGAAGAAGGAAATCGCCTTCAAACTTCTAACATTGAACTTAAACGGCGAACCTAACAAGGTGAGAGCAACATACATATCGTAAATGTTCGAGTAGTGCAGAAGCGCCATCTGATAAACAAACTGGTGTTGCTGATGGCGCGCGCCCCAAGCTAGTTGCCGGTCTCACTGTGGCGCTTACGAACGTTCGCAGCCTCACCAATAAATTTGATGAGGTACATCTCTGGGTAGAGCAACATTGCCAGATTTATTTTGTCTGACTGAAACATGGCTCCACGGTGATATTACTGATCCTGAAATTCACATCGATGGATACACGACATTTCGGTGCGAACGACCCAAGGGCGCTCATGGCGAGGTATTGTTTTATATAAATTCCAGCATGAGAGGGAGACTCATATCTACACATAACAGTGCCGACGGCCTATGCGAACAAATTTGGTGCAGAGTTACTGTTGGGCCGAATGAACTGAGAGTGGGAGCCATTTATCGGAGTCCTTCAAACACTTCCCGTGATTGGATCGACGTAGTGCAGCAGCGCTTGAACTGCCGAAATTTTCTGTTGCGTGGTGATTTTAACTTTCCACACGTTGATTGGCCGCATTATAAAGCTCTACATGGCCGTAGCAATCTCCAATGCGCTTTTGTCGATACAATGGCGGAGATGCACGCTGTGCAACATATCCTGCAACCAACAAGGCATCTTCCGGGGCAACCTGAAAGCTGTCTTGATCTCTTTTTCACGAACGATGAGCAACATGTCGAATCCGCTAAAGTATTTGAAGCCATTGAGCCCAGCGATCACTCCACGATTTCAGCCGTCCTACGTTTGCCATCTGTTGTATCATTACGAATACCCCGTCGTAACATTTGGAAAGCAAACTGGGATCGGTTGATGAGTACTGCGGAGCACATGGACTGGTCATTACGTTTGAATGACGTTGTTGAAGTGTGTTGGGAGGTACTGAAGCAAAACCTTGTTCAGTTACTAGACCAAGTTGCTCCTTTAACACCAATAAAATGTTGGAAGAGGCCGCCATGGATGGATAGCGAATATGTTGTCATGTCGAGGCGACGTGCAAAATTGTGGAAGAGGTTCAAACAAACTCATAGCGCCGCAGATTACACAGCTTACAAAACGCAAAGAAGCGGTTGCAATTCAGTGAAACTACAGAAGCGTGCCGCTTATGAAACACGCTTATCAGCAAATGCGAAGGGGGCAAAAAAGGTTTTTGCATACATCAAGCGCAAGCTTAAGCCAACTGACAAGTTACCTGCTTTGGACAATTCGCTTGGTGCACTGTTGACCGCCGACAAGGACCGAGCTATCGCACTTGCTTCACATTTCGAGTCAGTGTTCGACTCAGCTTCTCCAGCATTTCAGTGTACCCAAGTCGACGCCAAACAGGATACAGTATCCTGTTCAGAGGACCAAGTTAGGGGATTGCGTGCTAATCTAGACTGCTCCAAACCGCCAGGACCTGACGGCTTGCATCCACTACCTCTCAAAAGGCTGGCACCTGTTATCGCACCTGCAGTGACGGAAATGTTCGAGGCCTCTTTGACACAAGGGAACGTCCCACGTGAATGGAAGCAAGCGATCGTACGGCCTTTCCCGAAAGGAGGAAACAGAAGCAGAGTAGAGAACTATAGACCGATTTGCCTGACACCAGTGCTGGCCAAATTGCTGGAGAAAGTTGTCAAGAAGGCGCTGCTTGAGTTCACAGAATCACATGGCGTGCTTACATCAGTTCAACATGGTTTCCTAAGAGGACGGTCTTGTACCACGAATCTTCTGACTTCCCGACACAGTTGGACTGAAGCAGTTAATGATGGTAGGAGTGTTGCTGCCTTGCTGGTTGACTTTAGCAAAGCATTTGATAGAGTGAATCACTTTATCTTGCTATCTAAACTCAACAGTTATGGCGTGGGTGGAAAATTGCTGAAATGGATTCAGTCATTTCTGGACAAGCAGCAGTGGTGCGTTCAAGACAATGACTACCGAAAGAAATGGTGTACTGCCTCTAGTGGTGTGCCACAGGGCACAGTACTTGGCCCAACGCTTTTTCTGTTTCATATCAACGACTTACCAGGACGTTTGACATCTACTTCCGCGCTGTTCGCAGCTGATTTGAAAGTTTGGAGGAAAAAATCGACCCATGTCGATGAGGATATACTGCAAAGTGATCTCGATACAATCTCCTCATGGGCATCAACAAACTGCCTTCCACTGAATGCTAAAAAGTCCGAATTGCTCCGCATCGGCAAGTGCTGTCGGGACAGAACTTACTGTGTCGGTGGACGTCTACTGTGCTCGGGTACGACGGTTAGAGATCTAGGAGTACTATCTCGATGGGACTTAAAATCGTCAGACAATACGCACAAGGTCTACTGTTCCAGCTTTCGCATGTTTTGGTCATTAAAGCGGACCTTCCATGTTTGGTCGGAGGAAATTGCTGTCAGGCTATACGTCTCCATGGTGCGCCCGCTTTTAGAATACGGGGCACCGGCCTATTACCCAAGTATGAAAAGTGAGCTGAGCAAACTGGAAAAAGTCCAGCACCTAGTCACCCGTCTGATCCCTACGCTCCGAGGCTTATCTTACCACCAGAGGTGCCACAAGTTACGTCTCCATACACTAGTATACAGGAGATTACGAATTTACCTCATTACAACGTTTAGAATCATTCACCTGAGACTTTTTCCTCACCTGAGACATATGTTCTGTACTGTGGATGCACCTATCACCCGAGGGCATCCTTAAAAGCTGGAAGTTCCACGTATGGACAATGTCACTCATATTTATTGTTTCGCGCGACGTGCGGTACATTTCTGGAACTGGTTGCCCAGTTCCGTTGTTCTTTCTGATTCAGTGCAGTGTTTCAAACGAAGCATTGACAAACACTTTTCAGACTTGTGTTTCGATACAGACGCCATGTTTGACCTCCTTTCGTCGCGTGGTTATGTCGCGGCTACACTAGCAACCCTAAAAGACCAAGGCACGAAGTGCTTTCTTTGTGCTTATATATCGGTATTTTGTTTGCTTCTTACCAAACGACTATTGGTGTGCATTCCCACAGACCCATATTCGGCATGGGTCATTTTTGCTTTACTTATGATGGAGATCACATAGATTCCTATCGTGTTCTCCTAAAAAATTGATTCTGCTTCTGCTTCTAATAAAATCGCATGTTCAATCAGCGCGGATGACCGTTCCAGCAACATGAGTGACCGATATTTCATCCATAGCGCTACAGTGAGAAACATTTGCAGCAGACCTGTATCAACCAAAAGATGTTGCTTTAGTCTTGCTTCTTCATCTTTGCATAAATACTATTTAGATGTGAGGTTCCGCTTTTGTTTAATGTATTTGTAACCAGAAAAAGGCGTACGTGACCCGTAATAAAGCTGCATTGTGGAAAATATCCTGCGCTTGTCAAAATCCATCACAACTATCTCCCCATGGCACGGTTGGGGTCACAGACAACGGTCAATTTATGACGCACCATAGGTCAAAATTGCGAAGGCTTTTCGGTCACCCGCATAGTGCGGGTGACTTTCCTTTAGTATCGCCGTGGAACAGGTAGACTATTGGCTGTCAGGACGCTGACTAAAGCGTTAACATGCTATGCTGGTCCGCAACGATATAAGAGCGATGTGCCATTTTACAGTTCAAAAGGGATAGCGTACTTTTTATGATATATTAGACGCGACAAACACAACCCGAAAGAAACTGTTCGTTTTATAGACAATTAAATATGTGTGTAAGGGATAAAATTTGCACGGTGTATTATCGTCCTGCTGCGACACAACC